AAAAAAATGCCATAATCTGCTGTTTGCCAGCATTACAAAAGCTCTGGCTGCTGCAGTGCCCCGCCCCCTGCTCTGCTCAGGACAGAGGCTGGAAGAAAAACAACACATACAAAAACTGCAGAGATGTTTGGCTTAGGACTCGGGCACAGCTGGGGGAAAAAAAAAAAACCACCTCAGTTTAAAATGTTACCTTCTCCACAGCACTGGAGAGGCAGGTACCCTGCTGTTTTGAGTGGCCAATTAATTACTCTATTGTTTTGAGGACCTACAGTAGACCTCAGGTTTAGAAGGTTACAGTGCTCCAAAGACTTAATTCCACAGTTTTTTTTTCTGAGTTTTACAGTCAAGGATGGAATGAGATTTTCTTTTTTTGTACCCTTGTTTCTAGGCAATGTGGGCATAGTGGGGCCAAGCCCAATAGAAAGCTGAAATCGACTGCAAGGCTTGGGTTAGGCAGGTAAGAATATCATCACCTCCTGCTGTGCACGCATTAAGGATGAAAGGCATGGTTTTACAGATTAGATGGCTGCCTGGCTAGAAAATAAACACAGCAGTTACTTGGTCAAGCAGACAGGCATGAGAGTAGTCAGAGATGCAAATGGAGCAGTCAGAGAAAGGAGCCTGGAAAAGCCAGAACTTCCACTTCAGGCTAAAACTTTGCTCTCTCTTCTCAAAGATTACACCTAAGTGGGCAATGTGCCACAGGGATGAGACCGTGTGTGCCTTTACAGTGTGCCTCTGGCTGTGTGGACATTCGCTTGCAGTTGGCAGGAAACCTAGTGTTCTTTTCCAGTTCACATTTAACGTAACTCCCCACAGGTGTTTTTGTTGCTGCGAGCGCCCCTGTGGCTTTTAAATGCTTGACCCGTGCCCATGGGGTGCAGTTATTTCTTTAGAGAGGGAGAGAAAACAAGACATTTGCCCAGCAGACATAACATTGTCCACCCCCTTCAGTTTTTTTCAAGGGGTATTCGGATGCAAATTGAGTTGTTAGAAGTTACTGGGGGAGCTGCTGCAGGCTTACAACTGGCTAATCATTCAAACTGACTTTTCTTTCTTTCCTGGTCAGGTTTGGAGGCAAAAAAGGCTAAGAAATGCAAGTAGTGGGTTAGATTGTGTTGCTTGTGTACAGGGCTTCCAAAAGCCATTATTCCTTTGGTTATTCCTAACTTTTTTTTACATGTTTCAGTTTCTCCCCTGACTGTCTAATACAGCCAGGGGAGCTCGGAGTGCTGGGTGATCAGCCCTTAAGTGCACTTTCCAGGACCAGCAGGAGGTTAATTATGTGATTGGAATTTCCTTAGGCCCTTGCACGTCTCAGGGATTGACCTCAGAAACCCCAGTAAGGCCCCCACTTACCTAGGGCCACTCAGAGATTTGGGCCGGGGGGAGGTGGGGGGCTGCCTCTTTTCTTCAGAGCCCTGGCAGAACCAGAGTACTCATTTCAGATATCCTTGTGTTTACTTCTGAACATGGGCTTAGCACTTTCAAATTCCCCTCCTCCACAACACAGCATTTCCTTAACTGTGAAGGTGAGATTATACTCACTGTTTCAAACGACTGGAGATAAATGGTTAAGTTTTCTGGCACAGCCTTAGTTTTTCTCCCCCCGGCAGAGGCCTTACCGGGTGAAGGAAGGCTGCTGGATGGTGAGAGCTGGTAGGGCAGGGGGAAAGGAGGAGGGAGAAAGGCCCTCAGAGGGACAGGGAGAATGAGGAGGGAAACAAGATGTTCAGGAGAGTCAGAAAAAGAAGATAGGAGGCTCCGGAGCAGTTAGTTTTTGAGAGAGTGCAGATTCAGAATATTTCCAGGGCAAGAGGACTTGTGCCGTGGAACAATGGGTGCACAAGTCCAGGCAGGAGCACAAAGTTCTGAAGCTCTGAATGTGGGGGGACCTTAGACTATTTTTCCAGTCCGTCTGCAAAAATTATTTAGGTAAGGGTAACGAAATTGAAAGTGCCTTAAGCGGGGCCAGGTTTTGCAATTACTGCACTGATATAACGGCCAGACCGTAAAAGGCAGAAAAATCAGCCATTTCTGTTTGAGGCCAGACACCCTAGAGGCGACTTAGGACCTGGTTTGAACCCCTACCCACTCATTCCTGGTCCCAAGGATGAAAGATCAGTGACAGAACTGGCATCCCACAACTCAAGTCACAAACCAAATCAGACAGAAAGGGAATAGAAGCCTACAGGACATCTGCTCCTAGACTTGAATCGCAGGAGAACAGTATCTCCCACAAGGGGTACCCCCAACGCTGCACCATGATTTTCGGTTAGGAAAGCAGCCTTTCCCACAGACGGGGAGCTAGAATGAAATGCAAGGATCAGGAAGTTAAGGGATGGCGGCACTTACCCTGATTCGGTGCTCAGACTGGTGGGGTAGCCAGAAGGCCTCCTCGGGGAGCCGGGAGAGGAGCAGTCTTCAGCAGACAATGACTCCTCCCAGGTTTCGGCACCAAATGTAAGGTTTTAGTAGACCCTGCCGAGGAAATAAGCAGCCAATTAGCCGTGAAAACAGGCAGATGAGCTTTATTTTAGAAGTTTGTGCTCCCGAGCGAGATTTCCTCTACACATGCAGAGGAAGGGCCCAGGAAAGTTCCCCACGGGAGAAGGAAAAGGGAGGGAGTTTTATATGGCTTGAATTCGGGTGAGAGCCAAAGATTGGTTCCTGCTGAACAAAGAAGCAACATGTCATTGGTGGTTCCTGGTCTGACAAGAGCCACCTCTTCCGGGTCAGAGTTCAGTCACCATATTACTTGTAGTCCAAACCGCGGCCATATACGGTTACCATATTCCTTGTAATCCAAACGGTGGCCATATTTGTAGTCTAAACGCTGTAATTGTAATTAGGTTTCCAATTGTCCTACCCCTCCCATGGTGACAACAAGTCCCTTAACCATTACTTTTATTTGGCCCCCAAGAGAGTTGGGAGAACACACTGCTGGCCTTTCCAGCTTGGCCCCTAGGCCCTCCCCGTCTTCTTGGCCCAAGACCCTCTGGTGACAGGGCTGGCTACACTCGGCAAAGGAAGGACGGGTCATCATTGCACTTCAGACATCTTAGGATCGGGAGGGGGACGGGGCACTGCCCAGTGTGATTGGGGAGGAGGTGCCTCCCTGCTCACGCCTGGCATTCTGTGCCCTGCACAGAAGGGGCGCCCCTGGGCCTACCCTCGCCAGGCCACCCAGAGCGCATAGGAAAGGGCTGATAGAGCAGAGGGTGTGAGGTCACCACGTGTGATTGCCAACAGCAAAGATGGGGGTGGGGGAAGAGCTGGTGGTGGAGCCAGCTCTTCACCTGTGGTCACAGGAAGGTGACCACACTTCTGGGGTGCTGGGCTCTGTAAAACTCCTGAGGGTGAATAAAAACAGATGTGTAGAAAACTCTCTGGCCCACCCCGGTGGCCTTCCTTCTTGTCTCACCGCCTTGTGCTTTTGGGAAGAGAAGGCCGAAGGTCCGGCAGGCCCCGAGTTCCTGAGTCCAGGGCCCAGGATCCCGACTCTTTGGTAACGGATTCTAGGGCGCAGGGGAGGGGAGCGGGAGAGGTGGCAGCAGAGAAGCCGAAGGCCCTCAACAGAGCCTGGGGACCAGGGAAGGGAGCACAGGCCTGAGGTCCCCAAGCCTGGTGGGTGGGGCTGAGAGTTTGGTCACAGCAGTCCCAAGAGTGTGGGGGGCTGGGAAGGGGAGGTCGAGTTATCCCTTTGTAGGTCGTCCTACTCTGGTTGGTTGGTGGGTCTGTCCTTCTTGGGAAGCAGGAGGAGAGACTATTTGGCAGCTTTGGCCTCAGGCCCCTTTACTTAGCTGTCCACCTCCTCATCTGAGCTTTCACCAGCCAATGGCATGTCCCCATGCCTGGGGGCAGAGGCAGAGGTCAGAAGGCTGGCCAGGGTGGCTCAAGCACAGCTCACACATTCCATAGCGACCCCTATAGGGTAACTGGTGCCCAACACCCCATGGGACAAACTACACAGGGCCTCTGCGCCACTGCCTCCAGGCAGGATAGGGCAGCTACCAGAGCAGGTTGCTAAAGTGTTCCCATCACCCCATGACACTAGCAAACAGCTCTAGGAAATCAGCACATATGAAAAGGGGGGAAGGCAGAAAAATAGATGGAGGCACCTCCCACAAAATGCCACTCTTAGTGCAACTAAGTATAAGACCGGGAAACCGAGAGATGCGGACGCAGTGTGCGCACACTGGCGCGTTCTTCCATCACCTGGGGAATATGAATATTAACCACTGACCAGAACATCTGCTTATGCTCACTGAGCTTTGACAGAGGACTGTCGTGAAAAGGAGGCAGAAATGAGGGTGGGGCATGCTGGAAGACCCCTGCCTCTGCCATTTCTCGCCTCCTGGACGTCAACAAGCCATGGAAAAATGAGGAGGCCCCTCTCTGTCCCCATGCCTAGTGAGGTGACAGCAGCCTCTGCCAGTGAGCGCTCTCCCTGCACCTGGGACAGGCGGGCAGGGGCTACATCTGCACAGCCGGGTGGGAGCAGCCCCACCAGCAGACTTCCCAGCAGGATGGGCTGAAAGACCCAGAGTTCATGGTTTATGCCTCAGGCTGGGCCACAGCCCAGGTGGCAAGAAGATTCCCAAGGGGCAGTGGCCCCTGAACCCACTTTCTCCCCTCAAGTGCTGTGCTCCCTGATGCCCAGCTGAGAAAGGGAACCACCTTCACAGGAGCTTCATAGACTGCATGGTGCCATGCACAACGAACGAGCTTTTGGAGGGAGAAAGATGCTCTTGCTCAGCACAGTTATCTCCCAGGTGGCTTGGAGCCCCCTACCTTTCTCTCAGAGAGGGTCCCCAAAACCCGTTGCTTGGCCATGGGCAGCTACTCTAACTCCAAAGGCCCCAGTGAAACACGACGTCCCTGTCAGGAGGGGGAAACAGCCCCTGGGACTCGGGGACAGAGACCTGGTTCCTGACTGGACTCAGGGACAGGACTGCAGATGGGCTTGGACACTGCCCCAGGCCACAGGACAGGGACACCTACTTGGTCTCCTTCTCCAGTTGCTCTTCCAGTTGTGCAATCTTGGCCTCCAGGGCAGTGATGGAGGCCTTGTATTTGGACTTGACAGTGCCCTCTATCTCCTGCAGCTTGACCTTGCGCTCCTTGTTCTGGTGCTCAAGCTGCTGCCTAGCATTCTCCTTCTTCTGAGCGTGGCTGTACTCCAGGTTCAGGTCAGTGTTGATCTGGTCAATCTGTGGGAAGAAGGGCCAATGACCTTGAGGAAAGCTGGGGATCCTGCTGGGGTCAGAGGGGACAGCTGGGTCCTGTAGAGCTCCTGATAATAGTGGTCCCCAAAACCTAATAGCAGCTACGACCTCTTCCCCTAAGCAATCCAGAAGCTGCTGGCTTTGCCCAGGTGGTGTTCAAAATCTGCAGCCCTGAGCCAGGTGCAGAGGGATTGCCCAGAATGCCCCCGCCCAGCCCACCTGCAGGTTGGTCTTCTTCAGCCTGTCGTTCACCAACTCCGTGATGCCCTGCTCCTCCTCCAGCTTCTCCTCCAGCTGGGCGATGCCGGCCTCCAGGCGCCTCTTCTCCTCCAATGTCAGGGCCCTGGGGAAGACCAGAGGAGTGAGCAGGGGCATGTCCCTGAGGAGGGCTCCCCCACAACACCGGCCTCTGCTCACCCTGTGCCACTGCTGTTGGCAATCTCGTCAGCCAGCTCGTCCCGCTCCTACCGGGCCTGACAATTGGCACGCTCGGCAGCTGCCAGTTCCTGCCATGAGAACCCAGAGTGTGACCTGCTGGGCAGCCCACACCCTGAAAGGCCACCTCTTCCATGCCGGGCCCTCTGCACTGCCATCCTCTTCAAGCCCCTGGTCCTCTCCTCTATGCCTTCCTGGGCCTGCTTCCTCCATGAATGAAGTCCTTTCAAAGGAGCCCCCCTGCCTCACAGGGCTGACTCTTGCCTCTGAGGTCATAGCTGGGGCCCAGCATGTTTACAAAGCCCACTCATCTGAGTGCTAGCAACCAGGCCTGGTGCCAGGGATGCAGAGATAAGTCAGAAACCACCCTGGCCTAATGAGGCATGCTGGATCCTCTCCACCCCGGGAGACCAGGCACTGGGAATGACAAGAAAGAGATGTGGGCCAGGACCTGGCACTGAGGACCCTGACACACAAGGGAAGAAAAGGGGCTTCACCCCCAGGGCGAGCCCCCATGGACAAAGACCCAAAAGTCACCAAAGGAGAGCACAACCAATATGGCAAGGGCAGAAAGGGGCAGGACTAGATGTGGGTACCAGCGAGAAGCAGAATGCTTCCATATGTGCCTCATGTGTGACAGGCAAGCGGACACTTAGGGCACAGGAGTCTGGGTGGGACCCCTCCTCTCCAGGCCCCATTTCACAGCAGGAGGTGGTGATCACACAGTCTCCCTCCCCTCCAGGGAGGCCTGCTACTTAGTGGAGCCCTGCAGGGACTTCTGTCACACAGAGCCACCCCCACTCCTCCCTGGAGCTCCACTACTGTGTTTCCATCCCCACCCAACACTGGCCCAGGGGAGGCCCTGAGCTGCCCCTCCCACCACAGGGCAGCAACCCCAGGTCTCCCACACTTTGGCCCAAGACCACCTCCTGCAGCTGATTCATCTCGGCCTCCATGCTCTTCAGCTTCTTCTCGTTCTCCTTGGCCTGTGCCAGGTTCTCCTTGTGGGATGCATGCGTGTTGTCCAGCTCATGCATGTGGCCCTTCCTCTGGGCCTGGGGCGGGAGAAGACACTTCACACCCCTACCCCAGTGGCCACTGTCCAGTTCCTGCCCCACCATCTGCCCTCCCACCCCCTCCAGGGACAACATGGAGGAGGACCTTCTGGCTGCTTTTCACCCTGCCAGGACCATTAAAAAGGGTGAAGTAGTAGCTAAAGCGAAACGTCCCTTTGCCCCCACCATTTGTGGACTTCGTGGCCATTAGCATCCACCAGCTCACTCTGGGTATGGGAATCATGGCGCACATATTGGCCCCAGTTGCATGGCTTCCACTCCCTGCAGCCCCTGGGCACAGGGACCCCGAGCTGCTGCACCTTCCCCAGCTCATGCCTGCTCCCCTGCCAGGTCGTCCCAACAGCAGGGAGGATGTGACTCCCTTTTTCTGTCTCATGCTGCTGCTTTCATTCCAAAGATTTTGTGAAGCAGCCTTTTTTTCTTCTTGGGCAGAAAATCTCAAATTGACCCTCCGCATGTCAAAGGGTACAACTCTTGTTAGCATCACCCAGGTACCAGGAGGAGAATGCCAGCAGCCTGCAGGCATCTGTGCCCTGTGCTCTCACCAGCCATGGATGTTTAAATGTGTTCTAGTGCTGCCAGGGGGCTGGGTGTCACAGGGCATCTCAGAACTCCTTTAAATTTGTTGTTTCTTAACTGGGGGTCAGGTGAGAATGTCGCAGTGTGTCCCTGCTCCGGCTGCTCCTCTGAACCTTCAGCCCCAACCTTCCATCATCACCCATTAGGCTGCAGGGCGTCACCCGGGGCCACAGCAGGTTTCTTCTGAACAGGTGCCACTAGGTGACCCCCTCCCCTGACCCCACTGCAGAGCCGGGTGTACACACTCCGCTCTCTCACACACTCAAGGCGCAGGCCGTCCTGCTGGTTTGCTCTCAGGCTGTTTTCCCTTCAGCCTCTGGGCCTGAGTCTCCATCTGTGAGATGGGCTAAGGGCACAAAGGCCTTCCCTGGCTGGGGGACAGCAGCACTTCCCAGCATTCACTCGTCTCCCCACTAGTGCCCAGCCCCACGCTGAGCCCAGGGCCGCTGAGTCCGGCCAGTTCAGGTTTGACCCGGCCTAACCTCACCTGCAGTTTCCGTAGCTGTTTGATGGCTTCATCGCGGTTCTTGTTGGCAGAGTCGATCTGGGCCTCCAGGTCCTTCAGGTCCATCTCCAGCTTCTTCCAAGCGGCCATTGCCATCGAGTGATGCTTCCTCTCTTCCTCCAGCTCTGCCTCCATCTCCTGCACCCAGGGAGACACTGGCAGCTCTAGAGGATGAACCCACACCCCCCCTCCCCATCTGCAGCTCTGAGCCCAGGTGGCTTTGGCCCAGTTCTGGGATCCATGCAGCCTCCAGTGGCTAATTGGAGGACTGTGCAGAAAACCCTGATACAGCCACTGACTCCCACACCATTCCTCAGGATTGACAAATGGTCCTGGAGCCCTGGACATTCCAGGTGGCAAGACAGAAAAGAAGCCTGCCTGGAACATGGTGGGTAGGCTTGGGGGCATGTTTCTGTCCAGGGGGAGCGGAAGGGACATACACACCTGTCTGGCCAGCTGCTTCTTCTTCTCCTCACTCTGCTCATCCCGTCCCTGCAGGTCCTACTCGAACTGGGCTCTCATGGCCTGCAGGTTCACTTCCAGCCGAAGCTTGGCATCCTTGGTGGCCTGAAGCTCATCGTCCAGCTCCTTGAGTTGGGTCTTCATCTCTTTGACTTGCTGCTCCAGGGCCCGCTTCGACTTCTCCAGCTCATGACCTGCCCTACAAAGGAACCAGAGTCATGAGCAGAGGGACAAGAGGCCCCCGAGATCCCTGCCTCAGTGTTTGCTCACCAGGTCATCCTCTGCACTACCCCCTTGGCCCCTCCTGGGACTCACACTCTTGCCCAGGTCATCCTTGGAGCTCCTGAGGTCCTCCATCTCTGTGCAGAACTGTTTGTTGAGCTGCTCCAGCTCTGCCTTCTGTTCCATGGCCTCCTCCATGGCCTGGGCCAGTGACAGCACCTTGGTCTCCCTCTCACGGGCTTCTGCCTTAGCCCTGTCACGCTCCTCCACATACTGGGCTGAGATGGTCGTCTCCTTGGCCAAGAACTGGGACAGATATGGGCACCATGAAGCTCAGGCTACAACCTCCTAGAAAAACCTCAGAACCTACAGACCATCCAGACCCAACTCCTTGAGGAAGGAAGGACGAGGTGCTGGCTCTGAGGGGTGGGGAACAGGGACGATAACCACTAGGCGGCTCTGACACCTAGCTTTAAAGTCTGCCTCGTTATCACTTAATAAGGGTTGTTCATGGGACACAGCGTACCTCCCATGAGAACCCATAGGAAACTTTGCAAGTACCCAATGTGGAAAGGCTTTGGAAGTTCTTCTGAATAAATGGATGACATTTACTTTGAAGCATATGACTCTGCCTGCTTAGAAGCCTGAAGCCTGAATGAGGCCGCCTCTTAGGATGCAAGATTGAATGACCCTTGTCCACTCTCTGTGCGGCTGCACCTTGTTTGCCTTTGTATGTCAACCTTCCCACTCCCAATGCCCAAAAGTCTTCCTTAAAGGCCCAGGGAGGAAATGCTGTAGTCCTTGCAGGCCATGTCTGTATAGCAAACACGTGACTCTGCCCAGACGGCACAACAACAGCCAGAGACGACAGGGGAAGAGCCACCGGGGCCCACCACAACACACCTCCTTCCAAAATGATGGGCATCGGGTGCCTGAGGTGGGATCCCGAGCCCCAACTTGTTCTATTTTGCTATCCCAGCCCTGTGTTGGCATGTCTGAGCTGTCTAAGATCCTTCAGAGCAGGGGTGTCAAACTCATTCTCCCTAGGGGCGTCATCAGCCTTGCAGTGGCCTTCAAATGGTCCAGATAATTTCAGGACTATGTAACTCTAACTACCCCTTAACTTCTAAGGAACTGAAATGATATTCAGCCCTTTGAAGGCAACTGCAAGGCTGATGTGGCCCCCAGGGAAGATGAGTTGGACTCCCCTGCTTTGGAGTAAGGATGAGGTATTGACACATGAACCAAAATTCAAAGTTTTTAAAATCAGATCGTTTAAGAAATGTGACAAATATAAAAAGCAGAGAGCAGAAAACTCATTTCTAAACTTGTGGTGTGCAGAAGCCCAGTTCCGGGCTCGACCTGAGCAGGCCCTTCAGCAAGGGGGAAGCCCAGCCAGACCTCTGAGGACCTGCTGGTGGTGATGGGTTCCCACGGCCCGAGTCATGTCCATAGCCTTGGCCTCAGGCCATGGTCTTTGAGGAAGAGAGGAAATGAGGAGCAGTGTGCCCATGACTGCACACCTGGTCAAACTTAATTTGCTTTTTCTCCAGGTCAGACAGTCTCTGCCGCTGTTGGTGCAGCTCCTGCTGCAGCCACGGCCTGTCCTTCTCCAGCCTGTCATACGCGGCACCTTCTCCTTGTCGTGCTGCCTGAGCCCCTGTAGGTCCTTCTCCAGTGTGCTCTTGTCCTCCTTGGCAATCTCAAGGCACCTCACACCATGCTCCACCTTCTTCTTCAAGTCACTCACCTGGCCAGGAGCAAGCAATGAGGACACACCCACACTGGCACCTGCTCAGGAAATACACCTGTGCCTGAGGCAGCTGGGAGCTGGGCTGCTCCTCAGGAATAGACACCAGAGCCAAACCAGGTGTAGAGGACCCCCTTCCACCAGGCAAGAGAGACAAACATTGTGGGAAGGGCAGGGAGGCTCTGGAGGGTCTCTCCTCAGTGCCCTGCTCCCAGCTGCTCCCTTACAAACACCAAGGCCAGAGAGGAACATCCTCCAGTTCACTCACAAAGTGAGCTGAGCTGGTGCCCTCTGGGGAAGATGTCTGTTGGGGGCACGAGAACCCTGGACTCCTTCCCTGTAACCTCTCCTATTTGTACGTGGATAGAAAGCTGCCACCGGGATCACGTGCTGGTCGCTCCTACCCAGACCATGGAGCAGACCGTGGCCCCATCCTGTACATAGGGCACATCTGGCCTGGCTCACTACCTCCCAGGACAGGATCTAGAATGGGGGCTCTTGGTCCACTTTAGGCCCTGATCCTGTGATAGCGTAGAGGAGACTGGGCCTCCTCCTCCTCATCCTGATTTACACAAAATTCATGGGACGATCAGGAAAGCCAATTCGGACAAAGGCGGCTGTCAGAGGTTCCACTGAACTGGTGGGTGCCCCATGTGCCTCTCTGTGAGCACCACGGAGAGCAGCCCCCCGAAGTGCAGGGACCACAGTGACACCTCCAAAGCCCTGCCATGTCTGGACAGGGTGATTTCTGCTTTCTAGTGACCAGGACAGCAGGCACTGGGACTGCCGTGGCTTGTAGTCTACATTCACCCGGGAGGAAATCCTAGGTGTCAGCTGGACACTGGTGAAAGCAAGGATGTTCAGTCTGGTCTCCCAAGTTCACAGGTCCGGGAATTCCACCCAGGGACCCAGAGCTAGGAGCCCTGAGCTGGAGAGGAAGGGTGCCCGGGTCAGGTGGACCACGTCAGACCCAGCCTGCAGAAGTTCCAGCACATCCTGCAAAGCCCCAAGCAGGGAAAACCTCCTTGGAGAACCCCTCCCCCCAGCCCTCCCTCGCAGCGCTGACTGTCCCCAGCCGCCTGCCCTCTTTCGGTCTGTTCCCTCCCACCACACAACAGTGACTTGACTCCGGGGTTCCCGAGTGCATCTGTGTCCCCCATGTCCCGTGCAAGGCCCAGACTCGATCGAGGAGGCATAAGTGAATGGCTTTTCAAATGAAAGTGGAAGTGCAGAGGCACGAGCTGGTGAACAGTCATGGACACAGGGGGTTGTGGGAACTGCTTCACAGAGAACCTCACTTGTCTGCCGCAGCTCATCTCTGCTTGACCACACACCTCCTCTCTCTCTCTCTCTTTTACTTATTTATTTTTACAGAGAGGGGAAGGGAGTGAGGAAAAGAGGGAGAAAAACATCAATGTGGGAGAGAAACATCGATCTGTTGCCTCTGCCACACCCCCACCCACCCCCACCTCCACGGGGGACCTGGCCTACAACCCAGGCATGTACCCTGACTGGGAATCAAATCAGCAACCTTTTGGTCTGTGGAGCAAAACCCAAATCACTGAGCCACACCAGTCAGGGCCACATCTTTTCTCTTAAAACAAAGAAGCTGAAAGAAGGGCAGGCACTACAGAAACTCAACAACCACCTGGTACTCCTGTGTTCTGTCTGCCGGTGTGGACAGCAGCTGTCAAGGGTTCGAGACTTGTGCGGAGGCTTCACAAGCACTTTCGGGTTCAGTGCTCACAGCCACTCTCAGGGGGAGGCACTCACTTTACAAACAAAGAAATCAAGGCTCAGAGAGGAAAACAACTCACCTGAAGTCTCAGAGAGACAAAGAAACCCAGGTGGGACTTCGAACTTGGTGGTCTTCATGATTCTGATTCACCTACAGAGGGAAGGGGTGGGAGTGGGCCTGGAACACACTGGCCCAGACTCACCCTCCCCAGAAGGGCCTGCTTCACTTGGACAATTGTCACGAAGCTCCTTGGACCTCTGACCCCAGCCCGTGAAGGGACAAAGACGTGGGTGTTACTGCGTCGGAAGAGCACCCCACAGCTTGTGGTTCATTTACTTGCTTATCATGTACTTCTGAGGAGGGACAGAATGCTCGCCTCATGACGTAGGTAGGGAAACTGAGGCCAAGCAGGGACAATGACTCGCTCAACGTCACACAGCAAGTCAGTGAAGGAACAAAGGCTCAAAAATAACTTCAACAAACTTCCTAACCCTCGTACTCTCAGATAACAACCACACGCTCTGGACAAAGTTCAGGGCTAGGGAGAAGGAGTGAGCAGGAGATTTTGAGGGGAGTCAGAATGTGTATGAAATGATGGGCAAAGAGTGAGGCTCCGTTATTACAGCGTGGCCAAAAGTCTGATGAAACGCCACCCCCATCTCTCTGGCCTGAAGAACCAGAGACCAGAGCCCCGGGGCAGACTGCTGGGGAGGGCGGGACAGGTAAAGCTCAGGGAGAGACAAGGAGGCGGATCCCGACACATCATTTCAACATTCATCAGAGCTGAGGCTCTGGCCTGGACCAACATGAAGAGAATTCAGAAAGGACTCAAGCAATAGACTTGCGAATTTCACTCTTAAGGTAGAGAGAACTTGGCAAGGGGTGTAACTCCGGTTTGGGGACCACAGCTCACCCTTCAGCTGTCTGTTCCCAGGGCCATGTTTCTGTGGCCTCTGAGCTTCCAGGCCCCCGGGCATCTGTGGCTTCCACGGCAGCAGGAATCTTCCTGGTTTCACCTCCTTCCTCACAGCGATGGGGCAGCCCTCTGATGCCTGACGGCCTCTGTCTCCCCTCATCTCATTCCATGCCTGCACGGAGGTCGCCTTGCCTGTGTCCTCAAGTTGATCCTGCTCCTTCTCAAGCTTGGATCAGGTTCTTCTGTTCTGTTTGAGCTTCTTCCTTCCTTGTCATTGATTTTTACTTTGGGTTTGAGACCTCGGTTTCTGAAGAGATGCTTCTGGGCTCCATCTTGCTGGCTGACCCTATGGAGAGAGAAGAAACTCTAGGAGACCATTCTGCGTGGTGTGGGCCCAGCTCCCACTCGAGGTGCATAGGACCCACGCCCACAGATAGGTTCTCCTGTGGGGAATCAGGCCTGCACAGGCCTGCAATGTGCCTAGGCCACTTTGAGTCTTGCTCTTGCTAAAAAACTCCCTCACCCTGCATTGAGCACATTTACTGCAAAGTAACTCCCTGAAAATCCATGCTAAACCTTCCAAGGATGAGTGTAACCAGTTCAACCACTTTTGCCTTTTCATTTGCAAATATCCCGTCTTCTGTGATATGATTGGCAGCATTGACTCCTTTGTTTTCTGTAAAAGGTAACCACCTAAAGTGAACCTGTGCATAGTAAATGAGGCCCATCATGCAATGTGCTGAGAAACCCAATAAAGGCTGGTCATGGCAAGGGCCAAGGCTTTTGCTCCCCTGGAGAGAAAAGCCATGCTGTCCCTTTTCCTCCACCAGACTTGGTAGTCCATGTGAATGTCTCATTTCATCCATAATGACATGGACACTGCAGGGTCCGGTGTCTGCATCAGGAACCAAGAACTTCAGGATCTGCCAGAGGCTTCCCCTGGGGAAAGAAGTCCAGCCCCACTCACTTCCTAGAGTGGAGTGACTCCATCCAGAAGGTCTTTTCCCACCAACCTGACATTTAACTGACCTGAACGCCACCCCGGATCCCATCCCTGTGCCCCTTGGGTGTGTCCCATCAACTTTTACCTCTTTCCCTCCGAGTCCCATCCCACTATCCTCCTGCACACACTTCTCAAGGTCCAGGCTAGTCTTACCTCCCCAGCTGCATCTTTGTCACCATGAACTGCAAACATTTACTTCTGGAACACTTTGTTCTGATCTCCCTACTCAGGTCTTCTCTGAGCTTAACCGTCTCTCTGTGGTTCTCATTAAGCCTCTATGTACAGCCTTGAGAAAGTGCCTTTTGAACATTTCCTCCATCCCTGCTCCCTTAGCGCAGTTAAATGTCCCCTTCATCCTGCCTGAGTCCTGCCCCCTCCAAGATCTAACAGTGAACACCCCGCTGGCAGCAATGGTCAATGGTGGTTGTAGTCTCTACTGCACCTTGTTGTTTCATGCCCACAAGTGCAAAAGATTGAGAAAGGAACCCACTGGAGCATGAGAAAGACAGACACCAGGCTGAGGCCCTCTGCCACACCACAGAGCTCCCAGATGAAGTGGGTAGAGAGGATGCGAGTGTGTCTCCAGCTGCAGAAGTGGTGAGTGCACTTGCCATTGTAGGTGGGGTCGTTGGATCCGGAACAGGTGAAGGAAGGTCATTTATATTTGTCTGAGAACAGTGCACGTGTGTGTGATAGTCAAGGGGTCACTGTCCGTAGTAAACACAACATCAGGTGGGTTCTTGACCTGAGACTTTCCCTCCAGGGTTTCTGTCCCTACTTCCTATTCTTCTTCCTCATCCCTTTAAGATGGCCGTGAGTCTGAGAGATGGCTGTCAAATAGCCCACCTTATCACCTGTCCTGATGACCTCTTTGCTGAGATGGCCTGTTGCTGGGCTTCAGATGCTGAGGAGAGGAGAAGCCCAAGTTCCAGCAGCCAGTTTCAGTGGCTCCCAGAGTCCCCTGCAGCCCTGGGGGCCTAGGTGTGAGTGTCCTCTCACAGCCCCACAGCATCTGGAGGCAGGGGCCTGTTTGGGTCCCTGGGAGCTGGGCATGGACGTTCCCCCATTGTTACAGAACAGACAATAAAGGGGGCCTGAGACAGTATTCTATTATTTAAAAGGCCCCCAGGTCCGTCATGTCCGCCACCCTAGGAAAGATGTCTCTCAATGCCAGAGATTCGTGAAAAGGAAAGGAAATGTTTATTTAATGCTATACAGACTTCAAGTAGTGACCTAATGTCTTCCTCAAAAATCCTAAAGTCCTTAAAAACACCCACAAACACACAGTCCTTCCTTCCTTCCCCCTTTGCCCAGCCCAGAGTACCGTATCTCAGGAAAGGAAATAGAAGTCCATGGCTCAGGCAGTCCTCTGGTTCTTCCCAGTTAGTCCTCCCTCTCGACTGGGAGACCTCCCTGGGTTCCCGGCACCCTCAGCTGAGTCGCCGGGATCTCTGCTAAAACCAGGTGGTGGTTCCCCTTCTTAAGCTGTGGGGGTCCCCACTCTGTCCAGGCCTCGTGGTTCTCCCTCTCAGGGCTGCAGGAGTCTCCACTCTGTCAAGGCCACGTGGTTCTCTCTCCTAAAGCAGCACAGTTCTCCCTCAATGGCTGAGGTCCTCCCTATTCTGCTAAAGCTGCATGGTTCTCTCTCTCTGGGATGCGGGAGTCTCCACTCTGCTAAAGACGCATGGTTCTCCCTCCTCAAGCAGCATGGTTCTCCCTCAATGGCTGAGGTCCTCCCTATTCTACTAAAGCCACATGGTTCTCTCTCCTAAAGCAGCATGGTTCTCCTTCTCAGGGCTGCTCATGGTTCTCTCTTTCTGGGATGCGCATAGCTCTCCCTCCTAAAGCAGCATGGTTCTCCTTCTCAGGGATGCGGGAGTCCCCACTCTGCTAAAGACGCATGGTTCTCTCTCTAATGGCCGCCAAGTCTGGGTTTTAAATCCTCGCGGCCAATCTTCCTCTGCAGCCTCATTTCCGACTCCTCCCACACTCGGCTTCACATGCCAGAACTCGTATCCTTCCAAGTTTACTGGGCTGCCATTATGAGTCTGGGCAGGTGTGGCCCCATGTCCTGGAGCCAATCTTCTCCAAGCTCCCACGCAGGCACTGTAGCTTGGGGGATCTGCCCCCAGTCACGTCTTGGTGGGGAAGTTACTTCCATTCCCCTGGCTCAGAGATGATCACAGCTATTTAACATATCCATGCAACCAGCCAAAGGCTATAGATATGTTAAATGACCACACCAGAGCTTAGCTGCAAGGCTGTTGCTATGCAAAACAGCTCTCAATGGCCTTGTTCCATTTGTCCCTTCCCCCAACCCACACCCTGGGTGGAAGGACGGAGACATCTTAAAATCTCCTGGACACCTTAAGTTCTGGACCCGATTTCAAATGCCCATTTGGGGTCCCCCCTCTTGACTGCACCCTGTAACACCATCATGTCCCACCTGCAAAGTCCATTTGTCCTCCAGATCACCGTGCCTTGGGAACGCTGTAGGATCTGAACTCAGCAAACTAAACATGATAATATCGAATATTTTCTAGATATCACTTTTATTAAGTTGAAGTGAAAAGGTTTTTGAAAACTTTGGGTCAAAAATTTATTATAAAGATTTTTAAAATTCATTTTTACAGAGAGGGGGAGGGAGGGAGAAAGAGAGGGAAAGAAGCATCAGCGTGATTGGTGGCCTCTTGTGCTCACCCCAATCAGGGACCAAACCTGTAACCCAGGCATGAACTCTGGCTTGGAATCTAACCAGTGACCTTACCCTTTGTGGGATGATGCCCAACAAATGGAGCCCCACCGGTCAGCACGGAAACTTTTAAAAACATAGTTGCTTTGGTCTAGGGGTGCATTCTTACAAAATAAATAAACAGCTAAAAATTTTTTTTAAAGATTTTATTTTTTTATTTTTAGAGAGAGGAGAAGAGAGGGAGAGAAACATCAATGTGTGGCTGCCTCTTGCATGCCCCCAAATGGGGTCCTGGCCCACAACCCCACTATGTGCCCAGACTGGAAATCGAACCTGTGACCCTTTGGTTTCCATGCCCATACTCAATCCACTGAGCCACAACAGCCAGGGCCAGCTTTTAAAATTGTTTAAACACTTGAAAGAGCCATCTTAGTGCCATCTGGTTTTTATTTTTGACTTAATCAAGGTAATGTAGGTGATTCATTTTTAAAATTTTAAAATATTTATCACTAGTCTTGGGAATGGTTAGTCTTCAAGCTGCAGTACTTTTTCTTTTTTTAGGAAAAGAAAAAACAGAACGAAAAGATACCTGTTTTGTACAGGAAAAGGCAGTATTGGAGGGAGGAGACTTAAAAGCTAGAGGGAAGAAAAGAAATTTTAAAAATGCTTATTAAAAACAGAAACTGCCCTTTTGTGGAAAATTGTTCCTTTTTTAGTTTTTAATGAAAAAGAGTTCAGCGTTTTCATTTTTGAGAAAATAGGAGTTGAGTTCATAGAAACATCCTGGATTGGGCAGACATTTGTTGGGAACGGCCCTGCCTGGTATCGGAAGCTGTAACCCCCGCCTAGGCTAAGGCTAAGAGAACGCCCTTGGAATCATAAGCCAGCAAGGAGACAAGCTTATCTCCCTGACTAGAGCACTGCTTCTGCTACTTCATACCTCACCCTGCCTAAACCCCAATGCTTGGTCGGTTAGCCAATGACGGGTAAGATTCCCCAAGGGGGGAATGACCTAAGACAGGCATGATCACGTGGGAGGCCCCCAAAAGAAGGACTCTGGGGGCTACGGCAAAAGGGGGTGATGGACTCTCGCCCTTTGGCTTTGACAAAGCCCAAGTCCTCCTGCTCTGCAAGAAAATCTCTTAATCTCTTGGCTGCCTTACTTCCCTTGCTCCACCTAAGCCTGAAACAATGACAGGGTGGTGCTGCCCTGTGCTGGAAAGGGTGGATTCCCCGGGTGATCAGGCCTAAGAAAGAACATGTAAAATCCTGTGAAACCTGCTTTTAGAATGCTCTCAGTTGAATGAGAAGGGTCCAAGGAGGAAGTTAGTTTTTTCATTAAAGTCTTACAGCTCTTTGACCCTGACTCAAAATAGACCCTCAGAGTTCCTTGTTACCTATCGTTTCATCCTTACTTCCTCGCAATGAGTAATGTGCTTTACCTGAATTCTTATGCAAAATGAACCCAATAAAAGCCAGTTTGGATGGTAAAGTGGCATGCTCCCCACTAGAGGGGGTGGCAGTTACATCCCTACTTCTCCACAGAAACTGGTCTGTCTCTGTGCATGTTTTTTCTCGTGTTTCAACGAGCCATCTGCAGCGGTCTGTGATCACTGCTGGCCGGTGACCCATGCATCAGATATTAGCTTTTCCTTGAGCCAGAAGTGAGTCTGGGGAAGGTCAGCAGTAAGAACGGTGACTGCGTGTATTTCTCCTCTCGGGACAAGGTGGTCTGGCTCTCTCTGGAAGTGAAGTCGTGTTTCTGAGTCTGAGAATCCCTCTGCTCTCACCTAGAATAGCGCTGCCATGGGGTGGGGGCTCCAGTCGTTGTGGTTAAAAAAGTAACCTGGTCAATTTTGTGCTTGTCTTCAAGGCTGGCTGAAGTAAAAACTGGTATTTTAAAACACTTTCAGAATGAAGGGCTTTTTAAAATTGAAAACTGGAAGAAGAAGAAAAAATGGAAAGAAGAAGAAGAGAAAGAAGAAGAAAAAGAAAAAGAGCAGCCATCCAGGCAAACTGGGCCAAGACTGAGGAGCAGCTGCGGAGAGCAGCGCCCAGGCCCCAGTGCCTGCACTCTCGCGCTCCCTCCTTGAACTTCACCTGCAGCGCCTGCAGCTGGGCCTCCACTCTCTTCCACCTGTGCTCTGAGTCCACTTTAGCCTGCTGCAGAACTTTCACGTCCTTAGTCAGCTCCCCTAGGTCATGCTCCAGGGTCTGCTTGTCCTTCTCAAGGTTGGCTTTCACCTGGTGGGGGAGGAAGCAAAGGAGTGATGAGGGGCATCCAGGCCCTGCCACGAAGCTGCTGTTTCCAGTATCTTAGGAAGGACTGCAGGGTTCATATCCAACACTGCCGCCTCTGTGGTGCAAGTGATGTTGGGCAAGTTTAGGAGGCGGCCTGCTGGTCAGAGTCCTGGACTCAGAAGATTCCCCTCTGATCTGTCCTTATCACTCAACGGATTGGGACACACAGTATCTGCCCTCCTCTTGAGGGTCTCAGAGTGGATGAGAATGGGCTTGGGTGTCTGGCCAAGTGAGAAGCAGAAGTCAAAGACATAACTGCACATTGCGGATGACCACCTAGAACCTGGAGACTGCTTCCGTACATGCCTCCTGTGTGACAGGCAAGGGGACACTCAGGGCACAAGCCTCTGGGATGGTGCCCTCCTCTCCAGGCCCCAACTCACAGGAGGAGGTGGTGGTGACACACAGTCTCATTTCATTCCAGGGAGCCCTGCTACTTAGTAAAGCCCTGAGGGGACTTCTGTCACAGAGAGCCACCCCCACTCCTCCCTGGAGTTGCCCTGGCTTGTTTCCAGCCCTGCCCAAGGCTGGCCCAGGGGAGGCCCTGAGCTGACCCTGCTGGCCAGTGGGCAGCGACCCTGAGTGCCCCTTGGCCCCAGACTACCTTCTGCAGCTGAATCATCTTGGCCTCCATGCTCTTCCGCTTCTCCTGGTTCTCTTTGGTCTGTGCCAACTTCTCCTCAAGGGAGGCGTGCATCACCTCCAGCTCCCTGGTGCAGTCTTTCATCTTGGCCTGGGGATGTGGAGGAGACCTTGGAACCAGCAGGCCTCCAACCACCCACCTACCCCTGCCCCACATTCCTCCCGCTCAGCCCCTCCTGGGAAAAGCACCCACTGGAGCTTGGGGTTGCTTTGTACCCTGATGCCACCGGTAACCAGCTTATCTGAAAGGACTACCTAGTAGCTAAAGCCAAACATCCCTTTGCCCTCCACCATTTGTGCACTTCGGGGCCATTAGCATCCCCCAGCTCACTCTGGGCGTGGGAGTCTCGGCGCACGTATTGGCCCCAGTTGCGAGGCTTCCACTCCCTGCAGCACCCTGGGCACTGGGACCCCGAGCTGCTGCACCTTCCTCAGTGCATGCCTGCTCCCCTGCCAGGTCATCCTGACAACAGGGAGGGTGTGACTCCTTCCTTTGTCAGTACCCTGGAACATGTTTTAATTGGAAAGATCCTGGTCAAATAGCGTTTTTTCTCCTGTGGCAGGAAATCCCAAACAGGGGCTCCCTCTGTCACAGCTTGAGACTTGTTAGGTTCAGTCTGATGCTTCGAGGAGACTGCCACCAGCCAGCGGGACTTCTGCGCCCTGTGACCTCATCAAACTCAGGCATTGAAATGCCTCCTCATTTCCACCTGTTTGCTGGGTATGAGGTAGCAGCGCAGAGATCCTTTAACTTGTCATATTTTAAGTGCAGCTCAGGGGAGAAGGTCCCTGGCCATCCCTGCTCTGGCTGCTCCTCTGACCCTTCAGCCCCAACCCTCCATCATGGCCCATGAGGCTGCACAGGGTCACCTGGGGGCCACATCCTGTTTCTTGTGAAAACGTGCCACTCAGTGACTGTCGTCACCAGGGGCATTGCACCGCCAGGGTAGACACTCCACTCTCTAATGCACTCAGAGGCACACATTGTCCTGCAGGTTTGCTCTCCCACTGTTTTTTGCACGCGGCCTCTGGGCCTGAGTCTCCATCTGAGACAGGCTGGGGCACCAAGGCCTTGCCTGGCTAGGGGAGGGTGGAAATTTCCAGCATTCCCTGGCTGCCCTGCTGGTGCCCCAGCCCCACACTGAGCCCAGAGCCACTGTGTGTGGCCAGCACTGGTCTGGTCTGGCCTGACCTCACCTGCAGCTTCCGGAGCTCTTCCAGGGCCTCGTCGTGGTTCTTGTTGGCCCAGTCGGTCTGAGCCTCCAGGTCCTTCGGGTCCACCTCCAGCTTCTTCCCATTGGCCATGGCCATTGAGCACTGCATCCTGTCCTCCTCCAGCTCTGCCTCCCTCTCCTGCATGTGGGGGAGACACCGGCGGCTTGGAGGTCATGAGCCACACACAGACCCAACCCCTGCTCTGAGCCCAGGTGGCTTTGGCCCCCTTCTCTGGGACCCACGGGGCCCCAGTGCCCAGTGAGAAGGACTGAACAGAAAACCGCTGATAGAGCCACTGGCTCCGCTACCCTTCCAGGCACAGAGGACTGGAAGACCTGGTCCAGGAGCTCTCGGCAGTCCAGGTGGAGGAAGGACAGAAAGGAAGTCTGTGGAAATGTGGGGACAGGGGTCCTTGTCCAGGGGGAGAGGGAGGGGCAATACGCACATTTGGGACAAGCTGCTTATTCTTCTCCTCGCTCTGCTCCTGTCGGACCCATCTGAGCTTGGCCTTTACAGCTGGCAATTTCACCTCCAAGCACAGCCTGGTATCCATGGTGGTCCAAAGTTCATCCTCCAGCTCCTCGAGCAGGGTCTTCACCTCTTCCACCTAGGAATCCAAAGCTGCTTAGATTCCTGCAGGTCATGGACCTGCCACTCAAGGGAACCCGAGTCAGGACTGGACAGACAAGAGATCCCTGTGGTCTCTGCCTTGGTGTTCGTTCCCTCACCCACTACTAATCCATACTGGACCCCTCAGCCCCTCCTGGGACTTACACTCTTGCCAATGTCAACCTTGGAGCTCATGAGGTCCTCCACCAGTGTGCAGAACTTCCTGTTGAGCTGCTCCAGCTCTGCCTTCTGCTCCCTGGCCTCCTCCAGGTCCCAGACCAGTGACAGTGCCTTGGCCTCTTTCTCATGGGCTTCTGCCTCAGCCCAGTCCAGCTCCTCCGCATACTTGGCCGAGATGGTCTTCTCCTCAGCCAAGAGCTGTGAGAGATTGGGGTCCCAGGAGTCTCGGGCAATGCACTCCTACAAGGAGCTCCCAAGGTGCAAACCATCCAGACCCAGCTCCTTGAGGAACGAAAGGCCTGGCGCTGGGTCTGAGGGGTGGGGACTAGGAAGAGCCAGCAAGCACCAGGTGGCTGCTGGGGAAACCCAGCTGGCTCCCAGGGTGACGTGCACTGCTCACTATGTCCCTGTAACTGGACGAGGGTAGAGATTGTCTCTGCCGCCTTGCTTTAAAGTCCGTGTTTTTTATCCTTTATTAAGGGTTCTTTATGTCACACAGCGCCCCTTCCATGAGAACCCACAGTAAACATTGCACAGACCCAACCTGGAAAGGCTTTGGAAGTTCTCCTGAACGAATGGATGGTGTTCACCTTGAAGCCTATGACTCTGGCTACCTAGAAGCCTGTAGCCCATGTGCGGCCGCCTCTAAGGATGCGAGCTCAAATACCCCTGGTCCACTGTTTGTGCGGGCCATCCCTCGTTTGGCCTTGTATGCCAACCTTCCCGCTCCCAATGCCCGGAACTCTTCCTTAAAGGCCCAGGGAGGAAATGCTGTAGCCCTTGCAGGCTGTGTCTGCACAGCAAGCACGTGACTCTGCCCTGACGGCATGACAACAGCCAGAGACGACAGGAGAGGAGGCAGCAGGGCCCACCCCAAGACACTTCCTTCCAAAATGATGGGCGCCGGGTGGTGAGAGCCTGGGTCCCTAGCCCCGACTTGTTCTATTTTGCTATCCCAGCCCCGTGTCAGTGTGACTGCAAGCTTCCTCAGATCCTTTAGTGTGAGGGGGAGGAGGTATTGACACGTGAACCACCATTCAAAGTAATTAAAATCAGATCACTATAAAACAATGTGAAAATTGTAGGAAACAGAAAGTCGAACACTCGGCACTAAACCTGAGGTGTGCAGACAGCCTGTTCTGAGCACTCCTTAGCCAGGCCCCTCGACAAGTGGGACACCCAGCGGGACCTCCAAGCACCTGCAGGGTGGTGATGGGATCCCAGGGCCCACTCCCTGGTCAGTGGCTTTGAGCCTGAGGCCATGGAGCTAGAGTAAGACAGGAAATGAGAAGGAGCTTTTCAAACAGCATGCATACCTGGTCTAAACTTCTTCTGCTTTTTCCTTCAGGTTGAAGATGCTCAGGTGCTGGTGTTTCTAGGTCCACGACCTGGTGGTCCAGCTCCTGCTGCAGCTGCGTCTTGGTCCTCCTCCAGCTTGTCGTAGGCGGTCACCTTCTCTTTCGTAGCAGCTGCCTCAGCTCTTCCAGGTCCTTCTGGAGCTTCCTCTTGGCTTCCTCGGGAGTCTTCAGGCACCCCAGGCCATCCTCCATCTTCTTCTTCATGTCGCTCACCTGGCCAGGGACAAGGAAGAAGGAAACACCCACAAGGGCACCTGTTCAAACAACACAGGTGATCCCCTGGCGGCTTGAAGCTGGAGTGCTTGTCATGCACAGAGACCTGGGAGCCAACCCAAGAGAGGCCGCTTCCCCTTCCATCTCTCTCGAGAGACAAACCTTCTGCTGAGAGCAACTGTGCACTCCATGGAGCTGAGGGCAGGTCAGCTCTGGAAGGAGTCTCTGCTGTGACCTGCTCCAGGCTGCTGGTTTAGAAGGACCGAGGCCCAGGCAGAAGTGTCCTCCACTCACTGCGCTCCCACAGCAGGGCTGGTGCCCTCTGGGGAATATGTCTGCTGAGGGCTGAGGACCCTGGGTACCTGTCCCGCAGCCTCTCCTCTTTGCACATGGACAGAAAACTGCCACCCAGAGCACGTGCTGGCTGCTCCTACCCACACCATGGAACGGACTGTGGGCCCGTCCTGTGCGTAGGGCACATCTGGCCTGGAGCACTTAAATCCCAGGACAGGATCTAGAATGGGGGCTCTTGGTCCACTTCAGGGCATGGACCCTGTGACAGCATAGAGCAGACTGGGACTCCTCCTCCTCACCCCAATGTGACACACAAAATACACGGGATGATCAGGAAAGTCAATGCAGACAAAGGCGGCTGTCAGAGGTTCCACTGAACTGGTGAGTGACCCACGTGCCTCTCTGTGAGCACCACGGAGAGCAGCCCCCTGAAGTGCAGGGAGCACAGTGACACCCCCAAAGCCCTGCCCTGTCTGGGACATGGTGACTGCTGGTTTCTAGTGACCAGGACGACAGGCACTGGGACTGCCGTGGTTTGTGGTCTACATTCATCAGGGAGGAAATGCTAGGTGTCAGCTGGAGACTGGTGAAATGAAGGGTGACATTCAGTCTCGTCTCCCAAGTTCACAGATCCTGGAATTCTACCTGGGGACCCAGGGCTAGGAGCCCTGGGCTGGAGAGGATGGGGACTCCCTGGAGAGGAAGGGTGCCCAGCTCAGGCCGACCAGGGCGGACCCAGCCTGCAGAATCCAACCAGTGTCCCTGAGCCACCCAGCAACCCAGGGGGTCTCAAGGGGGAGCTAGCACCGAACCTGGGCGAGCAGGGTGGCAACCTGCTTCTCCAGGTTGTGCTTGGCCTCCTCCTCCTGCTCCAGCTGCTTCTTCAGGGACCTCTTCTCCTCTTCCACCTGCTGCAGCTGGGTGCTCAGGCCCTGCTTCTGCCGGTCCTGCTGCCGCAGCAGCTCCTACTCCAAGGACAAGAGGGACGCAGGGCTCAGGAGGTGCAGCGCCAGAGCCTTGCTGTCCCCACAACCTTGGCGGGAGGGAGCAGCTGGTACCTCCAGTCAGGACTGAGATGGTGAAGACCCAGTGGGGAGCCGGGGGGACCCAGAGACCCCGTGGATGCAGGGGAGGATGAGGAACCAGAGGAGCCCTGGGTCGGGACACCCAGAGGTCTGGCAGGGGCTGCCATGTGGGCACCTCATCCTCCCGGGGAAGGTCCAGCTGTAGAGCACTGTTGCCCCCCCTCACCTGCGTGTCCTGCAGCTGGGACTCCACAGTGGAGACGTCCTTGGTGAGCTGGCTGCACTTGCTGTCAGACTGCCTCAGAAGGCCCGTCACTCTGTCCAGCTCCGCCTGCTCGGGGACGGGACAGACAAAGGCCCAGGGTCTGGAGCATGACTGCTCTGGCCCCACCTGGGTGCCTCTAGGCTAAGGTGGACCTGAGTCACAGGCTGAACCCAGCATCCTTGCTGAGTGGCCACTGTGAAGCATGACACAGGGCAGGAGTCCTAGAGAACTGGAGGCGCTCCACACCCAGGAGCCCCTGAAGGCACCACCGCCCAGCCCCGGGTCCCAGCAGAGGCCTCACCTGCAGCTGTGTGCGCACTTGCTCTTCCTCCTTGAACTTCACCTGCAGCTCCTGCAGCTGGGCCTCTGCTTTCTGCCGCCTGTGCTCTGAGTCCCATTTTTCCTGCAGCAGGACCTTCACCTCCTTGGCCAGCTCCCCTCTCTCATGCTCCAGGGTCTGGTTGGCCTTCTCAAGGTTGCCTTTCACCTGGCAGGGGAGGAAGCAGAGCTGTGAAGAGGGGCATCTGGGCCCTGCCATGAAGCTCCTCTTGCCAGTGTCCCAGGAAGGGCCACAGCGTTCAAATCCAGACACGGCCGCCTCTGTGGGGAAGGGATGTTGGGCAAGCTTGGGAGGTGGCCTGCTAGCAAGTGTCCTGGTCTCAGAAGTCCCACACCTGGCCTGTCCTCACTCAACTGGAAGATGACACCCAGCCTGCATCCTCCTTTCTGAGGGGCCTCAGAGTGGATGAGAACGTGCCTGGGTGTTGGCCAAAGTGACAGGGACATCAGGAGCCATGACCGCACACTGCGGAAGACCGCCAGAACATGGGCCCCGCTTCCATGCGTGCCTCACGTGTGCCAGGCAAAGGGGCCTCCCAGGGCTCAAGCACCTGGGAGAGACGCCCACCTGTCCAGGCCCCAATGCACAGCAGGAGGTGGTGGTGACACACAGTCTCCTTCACCCCAGGGAGCCCTGCTACTCAGTGAAGCCCTCAGGGGACTTCTGTCACAGAGAGCCACCCCCACTCCTCCCTGGAGGTGCCCTGGCTTGTTTCCAGCCCTGCCAGAGGCTGGCCCAGGGGAGGCCCTGAGCTGCCCCTGCTGGCCAGTGGGCAGCGACCCTGAGTGCCCCCTGACCCCAGACTACCTCCTGCAGCTGAATCATCTTGGCCTCCATGCTCTTCCTCTTCTTTTCGTTCTCCTTGGCCTTTGCCAGGATCTCTTCATGGGAAGCACGTGTATCCTCTATCTCCCACATGTAGTCCTTCATCTGGTCCTGGGGTAGGGGAGGAGACACTTGACATCCCCACCCCAGAAACCTCCCACTAACCCACTCCTAACACTGTTCCTCCCACAACCTCTGGTTACAAACGCCAACAGGAGCTTGTGGCTGCTTTTCACCCTGACACCACCATTAACCAGCTGAACTGAAAGGGCAAAATAGTAGCTAAAGCCAAACGTCCCTTTGCCCCCCACCATTTGCGCACTTCTGGGAGGTTAGGATCCACTAGCTCACTCTGGGCGTGGGAGTCATGGCGCATGTATTGGCCCCAGTTGCGTGGCTTCCACTCCCTGCAGCCCCTGGGCACGGGGACCCCGCGCTGCTGCACCTTCCCCAGTCCGCACCTGCTCCCCTGCCAGGTCGTCCCCACCACAGGGAGGGCGGGACTCCTTCCTTTTGTCAGTCTCCTCTATGTGTTCTAAATCTAAAGTTCTTTGTCAAGTACATTTTTTGTTATTTTTGGTGATTTACATAAACTACCAAATTGGGACACCCCATGTCAAAGTGTGACACTCCTGTTGGGTTCAGCAGATGGTTCCAGAAGAATACAGCCAACCATCCAGGCTTCTGTACAGTGCACCTCACTAATCACAGACGTTTAAGTTTATTTTTGTTGCTGCTGATTTGCTAGTTATGTTGTTGCAACATAGAGATCTTTTGATTTTTATTCTTTAATTACATCAGGTAAAAATTGCTCATGTTTTCATCCCGCTCCGGATGTGCTTCTGAACCATAAGCCCCAACCTTCCATAATCACGGAGAACCATGATGTCCAGGTTCATCTCTAGTTGCAGGTTGTCATCTTTGGTGGCCTGAAGCCCAGACTCCAGCTTTTCAAGCTGTGTCTTCATCTCTTCCCTCTGGTCCTCCAGGGCTTTTTTACACTTTTCGAGATTCTGGACCTGACAGCCAAGGGGACCTGAGTCAGGAACAGAGGGACAAGACATCCCCGAGGTGTGCCTCAGTGTGGGGTCACCCTCTGACCCTCTGTGCTATCTGCCTCGGCCCCTCCCGGTACTCACACTCTCATTCATCTCATACTTGGAGCTCAGGAGACCCTTTGTCTTTCTGAATAATTGCTTTTTGCAGTTCTCCAGCTCTGCCTCCTGCAGAATCTCATGAATCCAGATGAGTTCCTCCAGCTTCCCCTCCAGCTCCTGGGCCTGCTGCCTCAACTCTGCAGCTGACTCCGACTTTGACCCTTCATTCAAGTGCTTTGTCTCCTTTACAAGGCTGATCGCATCTTCCAGAAGGAATACACCTGCAGTGGCCAAAGCAAAGATCCAGGCTCCTTTGGCCACTTCTTGAGCACTGATCCCAAAAGCTTCCTTTAGCTCCCTGTTGTTTCGCATTGAGATCTTTACTGTGGTCACCAAAAACCGGACCTCTGCTTCTATGAGAGGCTTAGCTTTGGCCACGTTGGAGGCACGGACGTTCTTCACAATCTTGTACAGGGATAGGATGCCCTTCGCTAAGGAAGCAATTCCAGGTACGATTTCACTTAGAACCTGCATGACCACCTCATTGTCAATGGCATCAGACACCAGACGACAGGCTTCAGCTTTTGCTGACTTGTTCCCTACACGTTCTGCAATGCTGGCAGACACACTGGTCACAGTCGCTATTGCTCCCAGTCCGGTTGCTGCAAGCACCAGACTGGCCCCGGCTGTCATGGGTCCCAGGGACAGGCCAACGATGGTCAGGGTGCCAGACACAGCACTGGTGGAGCTGGCCACCATGTTGGAGATGGTACAGCCCCTGTGCATCCTGTCAACAGTGTCAGCCAGTGCATGGAGATGCGCTATGCGCCACTTGAGGTCCTGTTTCACCCAAGTAAACTGCTTCATAAACATCTCCCTATGCCGCTGCTCATCTGACAGGTTTTGTTTGTCCTCCGTGGCCATGAGTCTTTTCAGCTGGTTCAGTTCTTCATACAGCGCATCTGCCTCCTCCCTGTAATGATGAAGGTCAAGTGAATAAGAAACACAGTTCGCATATCTGTAAAATGTCTCAACCAGACCCATCCTGCATAATTACAGAGCTGTGACTATAAATTAAATGGAAAGAATTTCACAAGTGTACAAAATTGTCTTTCAATGTTAAACCCATACTTTGTCTCTTGTACATGCTCCCCAGCACTGGTTCAATCAGGGAAAAATAAGGGAAAGTCCTCCTAGGATGCCCCAAAGTGGTCAGTATTTCATGAACATGGCTCCTCACTCAAGTGCAGGCCAGTCTATCACCAGGGAAGTGACTGTGGACTGGGGACTCCGAGGGTGAAGAAGGGAGAGTGGGGAGGAACCGAAACACCTTCCTTCAGAGGGTCCAGGAGAGTGGTGCAGACAGAACCTGACCATTGAGAGGCCTGCCCTTTGCCTTAGACACTGGGATGTGCTCTCTGGGTCCCTAGTGTCCTGACTCACAGGAGCCTAGCATAAGGCCACTAGACAGTCTGACAAGGTGACACATGATGGAGATTTGGGGTCACATTGTATCAGTTATGGCCTAAGAAGGAACTAGAAAATAAAGACATTCGTTAGGCCTCCAGAGGCGACTAGACACTATAGGTCAGCCATGCGGACACCATGTGATTCACCCCAGGAACCCTCTGTGCACTGAGGCTCAGGGTGGGAAACACTGCCAAATGCACATCAGGCTCTTCTGAGCCTTCTTCTAACTAGGCCTTGATCTTGGCCTTCCATGTTCTGTCCTTCACAGCCTATATCTTTCAGTCTTAGCCTGACTCCTGCTAAGCCAGGTCAGAGAGAGTCTCCCAACTGTGATGACTGACATCCTGTTATACCTGATCAATTCCTCTTCCCCCAACTCTGCAGCCTTAGTCCTTGACCTGCCTGTAGCAAGGACCCTGTTAGGGGAGCTTAGCAAGAGTCCCCTGGACCCATGACACCCCCTCTCAGTCATGACCTACCCACCGTCCCCCCAGTCTGTTCTTTGGCTCTAACCCCCCAGGGGTCTCTGCTGCATTCAGAGTGGAGCCCTGTCTCTCCTCTCTGTTGTGGGAGTCAGGACAGGTGCTGCCATCAGCCTGGGTGAGAGTCTCCTTCCATCTTAACAAGGGTCAGAAGAGTTTTCTTTTCCAGGGTGAGCTCCCCTGGTTGGCAATGCTTCGAGTGCATTGTCACAGCTGAATGGGGACAGTGAGGTGTCCTGGGGACAATGGAGGCTTCCCATTTCACACCCTCTCTGACTCTGCCCCAGGCTTCTCTCCTGTGGCTGACTGTGAGCTGTGTCCTTCCCTATCACAAAACTACTGTGGGTGTGATAGTTTTCAGTGGGTGCTCTGAGTCCTTCTAGGAAACTATCAAACCTGAGGGTGGTGTCAGAGGAAGTACAGCACTGGGGACTTTACCCTCACATTTACATTGTGGACACTTTCAATTAATGACACTAATGGTCACTTTGGGTGGCATCTGCTCTCTGCCAAAACTGATGCCCTTTGACCTCCCCAACCAAAGGTAACTGGATCCAGGCACAGCCCCAGTTCACAGGGAAGCAGGGGATATGCTACAAAACTTGGTTCACCTGGGACACTCTAGCCCACCATCTTGTACCTCCAACCTCTCAGGTGTCACCAGCCGAACTCACACCTTGGCTGGCAACAGCTTCCCTTGTGTGCACATCAAGGCCGTGTCCAAGTTCCTGGAACCTCTTAGAGACACGGGCCACTTTGCCAACCATGTGCACGAATTGCTGGGCCTGACACCTGCATCAGGACCAGTGGGGCAGGAAGCACTTTCCTCAGACTCAGGCGGCTGAGAGGGTGCATTGGAATCCCCCAAGTCACACAAAAGCCACAGCCACCCATTCTGATGTTGGAGTCTGTCATGAGCCACACAACCTGCCTTCTCCCTGGTCAGGGGTTACTCTGCACAGAATACCAGAGGGACCGAAATGGCAGACAGGACCCCAGCTCCCAGGCAGAGTGTGGAGGACATTGGCACCAACACCTGCTACTCCCAGCAATGAGGGACCAAATGAGGGAGGAAGGAAATGTCTCCTCCCCGACACAGGACCACACTAGGCTCTGGCCTCTCCAGTTTGTGCCCTATGTGCCCCAGCTGCCTCCCTCTACTCCCAGCCCCGCTGCCCTGCGGAGTCTTCCTTCTGGTCCTCCAACCGTGACCCAGCCCCACTCCACCCTGACGCCTGGCTCTCACCCTGGTGCAGGCCTGCCTGGTCTCCTGAACAGGATGACCACACTTGCTCCCTCACCCTTGACCCCGCAGTGCACCCTAAGGCCTTCACCACCATCCTATCACATGACCTGCTGTTCCCACTGAACAGAGAGGTGACAAATCAAAGACTCTGGGACAGAAGCACAAAGCCCCAGAGCTGAGCAGACACAGAGTCAGGATTCAACCATCTCAGCCTGGCTCCATCCAGCCTCTCTGCCTTCTGAGCCAGCAGGCCCTGCAGTGTGTGTCTGAGTCCTCCCTGAGGGAGGGACAGCCCCCAGCCAAACCCCAGGGACTCCACATGTACCAGGGTGCAGCAGGCTTGTCCCCAAGCAAGTCCTGCTTGCCTCCCATCTCCAGGAGGAAGACCCTTGGCCCCTGTGTTTTCCCAACAATCTTTTGAAAAGTTCATGTTAACTGAGCACCTACTATGTGCCAGTCATTAGGCTACATAGTTCATATGCATTATCTTCTTTTCCTCAAAATAAAATTGAACAGATGAATAAAACACTGTGTCATTAAACAACAGTCACCCTGCGGGTTTCATCTCCTCCACCTGAGACTGTTCACTGGCAATGAATGATAGGAAGTCTTCCTCATGGATTGTTGAGAAGAAACACATTCAACCCCAATCACAGGATCCTGCCTGGAGGAGGTGTGGCTGGCAGGGTCTATTATATCAATGGATTTCTGGTGACAACACAGGCATCTCCCGGAGGTTACCTGGGCACGCTGGATGCTGCCACAAATCTCTCCCAGGCTTCAGCACTCAGCAGGCACCGCAGTTTCTCCATGTTCCGTAGGTCCAGTAAAAACTCAATAGCAGGAAGAATCTTTCCACTTTCTAGAAGGAAAGAAAAAAGAATAAGAGGAGAAGAAATTGTAGTAGAACGTAAATGGTATTGAGTATAAATCAGGTAGTTGAGACCTGAATGAGGTCATGAGTGTGGGACTCATATCCAGTGTGACTGGTGTCCTTATGAGAAGAGGGAGAGACACCGGATCCCTCCCTCCCTCTCCCCTTCCGCCCCTGCACCCCGTGCACACAGGGAAAGCATAGAGCATGTGCGGACAGAGCAGGAACACCGCCATCTGCAAACCAGGAAGAAGGGTCTCCGCAGCAAACAGCCCTGCCAGCCCGTGATCTGGGACTTCCAGCCTCAGGGATTAAATATCTGATCCTGGGATGTCGGTGTGTTTGGGAATTCAGACTTGTTGGTCTTTCAGAAAGAGAGTGCAGGGCACACGTGCTGTGTGACCCCCACCTCCAGCAGGACCTGGGCAGCACCCAGTAACTACCGCATTCCTGCTGCGACAGTGAAACAAGTGTATTCACCTGAAATGGGGCAGATCCTGTACCGACTGTGAAGAGTCTCACGTCAGCACAGAGCAAGATGACTGCCCAGCTGAGCTGCCACAAACATGTGGCTCCCAGGGATTTGGAGGCCGTGGAGTGGCCACTGAGGGGTGGGGGACTAGTGTGTGCATTGTGTGTGCAGAGACGGGAGGGGAAACGTGTTTCCTGCTACACTCACACAAGAGACATTGTCTCATTCCACAGAGACAGAAAGAGAAAGTCAGGATACATGATGGCCCAATGCCAGCAGGCAGAAAGCTCAGAGATCAAATCCAGGGTCAATGTCTGACATTCCTTTACATTACTTTGAAGCCTCTTATGTTCAAAATTTCATGTAATTTCTATTACTACAAAGAACTGTATGCCAATAAATTTGAAAACCTAGGTGAAATGGACAAATTTCTAGAAAAATATAATCTTCCAAAACTCAATGAAAAAGAAGCAGAAAGCCTGAGCAAACCAATAACAACAAAAGAAATGGAAACAGTCATCAAAAAACTCCCAACACACAAAAGCCCTGGACCAGATGGTTTCACAGGAGAATTCTACAAAGCATTTAAGAAAGAGCTAACCCCTATCCTTCACAGACTATTTCAAAAAATCCAAAAAGATGGGAGTCTCCCAAACTCTTTTTATGAGGCCAACATCATCCTAATTCCAAAACCAGATAAAGACACAACAAACAAAGAAAACTTCAGGCCAATATCGCTGATGAACATTGATGCTAAAATCCTCAACAAAATACTGGCAAACCGCATCCAACAATACATTAAAAAGATCATATACCACGACCAAGTGGGATTCATTCCAGGGATGCAAGGATGGTTCAATATTCGCAAATCAGTAAATGTCATACATCACATAAACAAAAGCAAAGACAAAAACCACATGATCATATCAATAGATGCAGAAAAAGCATTTGATAAGGTACAGCACCCATTTATGATAAAAAACAGTCAGCAAGGTGGGAATAGAGGGAGCATTCCTCAACATAATAAAGGCCATATATGAGAGACCTACAGCCAACATCATACTCAATGGGCAAAATTAAACTCTTTTCCACTAAGATCAGGAACAAGACAAGGCTGTCCACTTTCACCCCTTCTGTCCATATAGTACTGGAAGTTTTAGCCACAGCAATCAGACAAGAAAAGAAATAAAAGGCATCCAAATCGGAAAGGAGGAAACAAAACTGTCACTGTTTGCAGATGACATGATAGTGTACATAGAAAGTCCTATAGACTCCACAAAAAAAACTGCTTGACCTAATAAATGAATTTGGCAAAATAGTGGGGTACAAAGTCATTATCCAGAAATCAAAGGCATTTCTGTACACCAACAATGAAACAGCAGAAGCAGAGATCAAGGAAAAAGTCCCATTTGAAATAGCAAAAAGAAAAAGAAAATACCTAGGAATAAACCTAACCAAAGAGGTAAAAGACCTGTATTCAGAAAACTACAGTAACACTGAGGAAAGAAATCAAGGAAGACACAAACAAATGGAAACATATACCGTGTTCATGGATTGGAAGAATTAATATCATCAAAATGCCCATACTACCCAAAGCAATTTACACATTCAGTGCAATTCCTATTAAAGTACCAATGGCATATTTCACAGACATAGAACAAACACTTCAAAAATTTATATGGAACCATAAATGACCCCAAATAGATGCTGCAATTTTGAGAAAGAAGAGTAAAGTAGGAGGGATCACAATACCCAACACTAAACAATACTACAAGGCCACTGTAATCAAAACAGCCTGGTACTGGCATAAAAACAGGTACATAGACCAATGGAACAGAACAGAGAGCTCAGAAATAAACCCAAGTCTCTATGGTCAATTAATATTTGACAAAGGAGGCAGCAACACAAAATGGAGTAAAAATAGCCTCTTCAACAAATGGTGTTGGGAGAATTGGACAGTCACATGCAAAAAAAAATGAAACTTGAATACCAACTTATACCATATACAAAAATAAATTCAAGGTGGACAAAAAACTTAAATATAAACCGTGACACCATTAAAGTCCTAGAAGAGAACGTAGGTAGGCAAATCTCAGATATTTCACGCAGAAACTTTTTTACTGACTTGTCCCCTAGAGCAAGGGACATAAAGGAAAGAATAAACAAATGGGACCTCATCAAAATTAAAAGTTTCTGCACAGCTAAAGAAAACAGCATCAAAATTACAAGAGAACCAATGTATGGGGAAACATATTTGCCAATGATACCTCAGACAAGGGTTTAATCTCCAAAATATATAAAGAACTTACATGGCTGCACTCTAAGAAGACAAGGAATCCAATCAAAAAGTGGGCAAAGGACTTGAACAGACACTTCTCCAAGGAGGGCATACAGAAAATCCAAAGACACATGAAACGATGTTCAATATCACTAGCTATCAGAGAGATGCAAATTAAAACCACAATGAGATACCACTTCACACCAGTCAGAATGGCCATCATAAACAAAGCAGCAAATAACAAGTGTTGGAGAGGTTGTGGAGAAAAGGGGACCCTAGTGCACTGTTGGTGGGACTGCAGACTGGTACAACCACTATGGAAAGCAGTATGGAACTTCCTCAGAAAACTAAAAATGGATCTGCCTTTTGACCCTGTGAATCTACTGCTGGGACTCTATCCTAAGAACACTAAAACAACAATACAAAAGAACGTTTGCACCCCGATGTTCATAGCAGCACAATTTACAATAGCTAGGTGCTGGAAGCAACCTAGATGCCCATCAGTAAATGAATGGATCAAAAAACTATGGTACATTTACACAATGGAATTCTGTGCAGCAGAAAGAAAGAAGGAGCTCCTACCCTTTGCAGCAGCTTGGATGGAGCTGGAAAGCATTATGCTAAGCGAAACAAGCCAGGCAGTGAAAGACAAATACCATATGATCTCACCTTTAACAGGAACCTAAACAACAAAATAATGAAACAAGCAAAATATAACCAAAGACACTGAAAGAGAGGACAGGCTGACAGTGACCACAGGAGAGAGTAGAGGGAATTTCAGGGGACATTGGAAAGGGTTCACGGGAACAAACTTAAAGGACACATGGTCAAAAACTAGGGGGAGGGTGGTAATGGGAGGGAAGTGGGGAGGGGTGGGGGGGCTGGACTGGGAGTAAAAACAAGAAAACTGTATTTGAACAATGATTAAAATAAAATTTTAAAAAATTTCATGTAATTTCTACATCCTATTCTAAAGTACTCCTGTGGGTGGCTTTTTAATTTAAAAATGTGTCGGACCACACACTGCTGATTTCTATAAAACTACCCTGCAAATGGGGTTCCTGTTGCTACTCACAGATGCCCCAAGATGGGCTGTGAAGGGGGGGTCTTTGGTTTTAAGATTTTATTTATTCACTTTTAGAGAGAGGAGAAGGAGGGAGAAACAGAGGGAGAGAAACATCACCCTGAGAAAAAAACATCGATCCATTGCCTCTTGTGCGTGTTCCAACCAGGAACTGAACTCCAACCCACACGTGTGCCCTGACAGGGGAATGAACCCGTGACCTTTCAGTCTGTTGAGATGACACCCAACCCACTGAGCCACCCTGGTCAGGGCTGAGAGTGTGTGTTCAGGTGGGTGTCATATTGGACCTGCAGCTCTAATCCTGTGATCAATCAATGTCACCTCTGTCCTCTCCAGGCGGGTCCCAGGGGACACACTCCCCTGATGGCAACTCTGACCCCAGGCTCTCCCATTTCCTAAACAGGAGGTCAGCTGGTTTATCCTCAGGGAGTCCGCCAGCTCTAGCCCTCCCTCAGGGGTCCCAGAGCCCGCTCAGGAGCTCCTGGCTTCTGACCTGTCCTCCCCTCCCTTGTCCTGCAGCATCAATAATTTTTTTTTCTCCAGGGACCCTCCGGGGAGGGTGATTTTGTTGCAAAGGCAATGCAGTCCTGATTTGGGTGGGTGGAGGGCTGTTTGTTCTTTCCCTTGGTTCATCATAGGGAGAAAGGAAACCAGGTCTTAGCTATAGGGAGCCCAGACCACTCCAGCTGTGTTTGTATTGATCCGGGGCTGGTGGGAGGAGGGATGGCAAAGCTGGCCTCTGTGGGCACATTGAGATCCAGGTAAACAGTTCCTGCCCTGAGACAGTCACACCTGGTGAGTAGGTGTTTATAATTGGGAACGAGTACCAGCCCTCACACAGCCGTGCAGGCTGGGAGTGGTATGGAGGGGTCAGTTTCCACCTACAAATAGCTGATGCCAGGTAGGTAGGACCAGAGACTCCTGTCTCCCCAGGGGCTGTGCTGGCCTCTTCTGAGTCACTGGGTAGGTGGAGGGGAAGGAAGGCAGTGAGCACTGTGAGCAGAGAACCAGGAAGGGGACCCCTCCCATCGACTCTGGGTTGAGAGAGCACCCCTTGGCCCTCGTTGGGGGCTCCAGGACCCTCATCAGCCCCCTTGCAGGTTCCTGTTCCTGTGTGGATACACTCAGCCTGGAGGCGCCACCCTCAGTTCTGG